CAATGGATCATTCATACACATGAAAGTTTTTTGTTACTGAAGTGTCTCCTTGTTTCTTTGTACTTTTATTGTTTTTTGCTGACTTTATTTGTTAATAACAGTGATAGTGGTTCTTAATGCTGCTGTTGACTACTGTTCACTGTACATAGTTGACGTAAAATATTGTAGGACACTATTTGGTTCAGAATCTTTTTTTTCTTCATTTCCCTCCCCTACAACTAGTTGCGTCTTATGGTCCGAAAAATACGGTATATATAACAAGGAATGAAAACCCCAAGTAAGAATTATAGTATCATATGATACTGTCTTGCTGAATCTCAGGTTGAGAGCCATGAATACTTTCTGGTTTAAGTTCTGACGTTTGGCACATGACAGTGTTTCCACTTGTACTAAATGCCTGTGCTGAGGGGGCATTTGTGGCAGGAATGCACAGCTATTTTTTAGCCAGCTTGACCTCGAGATGCCTCCACCATTTCAGACGGTTTGTTTCTGGACATGCCTTCATGGTTTTGAAATAGAAATTGCATTGAAAAGGAGTTCAATCTCTAACAGCGGGGCTATTTGGCATTCTTTTTTTAAGATAGCTGCTAAAACTCTTTTGTCTCAGCACAGACCTCTGGTTTGTCTGTAGCAGCTGCAGCTGATGGAAGGGGGGGCTGCCTCTGCTGATGCGGTCTGTTCGGCCACCAGGTTCTCCAGTTCTGACATAGCTCTGATCTTCATGTACTCAACTTTCTCCTCTTTAATATACGAATATATCGTTTTGAAACAAGGGTCGCCAAGGGACGCCATGTCAAGCCATCTGCTCTGTGGTTTGGTCATCATATTTGTCATTTAAATTCTTCCAGATGCCCTCTTTAATGGTAATGGTCTGCTGCGTGTTGCATCCTGAGGCTTAAGCATTTGAGTATTGAAAAAAATGGTGGGTTGGTTTCAAGTATGACACACAGGTATACTACTCCCTAGGCAAGTCATCTATAAATTCTGAGAGGACTCAATGCCTTATTTTTGGAGTCAAGAACATCCCTGTCCTACCATGTTGGGACTAGATGTCGTCTAATTTTTTGTCTGCACAGAGGACCTGTGAGAGCACTTTCTCCTGCTCTGTAAGCCTCTCAGTCATCTGCTGTAGAGAGCCCTATCTGGTAGGGGTGTCTGTGATTAGCTGTTGAGCAGGCATGCCCAGTTCTTCTTGAGCCCTGGTCAGTTCATGTCTTCTTTTCCAGGAATTAGAGAAGGCACTCAGCAATCTATTGCAGACACCAACCGCTCAATCCACCAGGGGTAGTTTCACATTCTGCTCAGTGTAAATAAATGTTAGATATATGTATTTATTTGATACACTTTACAGCACATATAACATACAACGACTCAATAGCTTCCCTGTTTCTCGACTGTGTAAAGTTTGACCATGTATTTCCAGGTATAAGCAGAGATTTTCACAAGTCACAAAATTAGAGTCCGAGTCAAGTCTCCATCGTGATTCCAGTTTGACATTTCTATTTATCAGTAATGACTGTATGAAAAGGAGATTGTTGATACCATCTGGCTTCACATTTCTCCGAATCCAGTTCCTATGCTCTGTGCACAGCCGGACATCGTGATGTGTTTAACGCCTTTATGATTTGAGAATAGTTCTACTCGATGCTTCACGTGTGTAGAAAAATGTAGAAATTTCAACAGAGCCTTAAAGACTCTTATTGTTCACAGTCGCTATCAACAAGTCGGAGTCAAGTCCAAGTCAAAAAATAACGAGTTGCTAGTCGAGTCGGTAGTCAATTTTTATTTTTTTATTTTGAGCACCAGTTGTTTTGTGCCTTTCATTCATAAATAATCTCCATACTCTCTCCATGACATGGTTCTTGTGTAGGTGGTAGAGGGTTAGTGGTGTTTGAGTCTGTTGTGGGCAACGATGTGCGGCATAATTTACTTAAAGTACTAATTTACTTTCTGCTCCATGTCAGATGTTTTGTAACCAAACCACATCTTTGCTATAAATGTAGTCCCATGTTTAGGAACAAGCTCCTTGATTTGTCTTGGCTGGTCCTTCTCCTTTTCGGAGCTACTCTGTTCTGTCTCAGTTTCACTCACCATGCTGGTATTCACGTTTCTGTAGGGATGGGACGTGTCAAGCTTTTGAAGCACAGGCAATTCACATTCTCGCATGTTTGGCTGGCATAAATGGTGCAAACCAGGCAGCAACACACACATGCGCACATGCTGTAGATGAATCTGATCTGGAACGGATGAGGTGGCAACAACCGTGATTCAAATAATGAAAAATTATTGCCGTAAACGGTGTATTTTGCTACACCACAAAATAAACGATAGTGTAACATCAACATTTTTTCCCCCATCTGATATAATCATATTGCACAGCCATACATGCAGCAGTTTCTTGTCGTAGCAGAGCAAATGTGTATTTGATTTCTTGTCATAAGTGCAATACGCATAAAATAGCTTGTATTCCATAAATGTGCATAAAACTTAGCTTATATTCCTCCAAAGAAGTACAAACTGGCCACAGAAAGGTTAAAATCACTGTAATTTCTTGTCACAACAGTGCAAATGCACCTAAAATAAATACGCATTGGCTCTGCTATGACAGGATATTGCCACACGTATTTGCTTTATACAGTGAATGCATACTTGCATACCAGTTATGTGTACCCCTTTGAATATACATCAATCAGCCATAACATTAAAACCACTGGCAGGTGAAATAATTCTCATTGATTTTGTTACAATGGCACCTGTGAAGTACCATTTTATATTAGGGAAGTGAATAGTAAGTTCTTGAAGATGATGTGTTGAAAGCAGGAAAAATGGGCCAGCACAAGGATCTGAGTAACTTTGACAAGGGTCAAATTGTGATGGCTACATGACTGGGTCAGATCATCTCCAAAACAGGTCTTGTGGGGTGTTTCTGGTATGTAGTGGTCAGTTCCTATAAAAAGTTGTCCATGGAAGACTAATTGGTGAATCGACGATGGGGTCATGGGTGCCCAAGGCCCATTGATGCATGTGGGAAAGGATGGCTAGTCCATCTTGTCCAATCCCACAGGAGAGCTACTGTAGCATAGAATACTGAAAAGGTTAATGTTGTCTATGATAGAAGTGTCACACGGTGCTTCGCAGCTTACTATGTAGCCACAGACCAGTCAGAGTACTCTTGCCGACCTTATCCAGTGGTGAAAGTGCATACAATGGGCACTTGAGCATCAAAACTGGACCATGGAGTAATGGAAGAAGGTGGCCTGGTCTGATGAGTCACTTTTTCTGATGCACCATGTGGAAGGCTTGGGTGCATGTGCACCGTTTACCTAGGGAAGAGATGGGACCAGGATGCACTATGGAAAGAAGGCAAGCCAGCAGATGCAGTGTGATGTTCTGGGTTATGTTCTTCTGGGAGGCCTTGGCTTCTGGTATTCATGTGGATCTTAGTTTGACAGCACACCTTCAGAGGTCTTGTGGAGTCCATGCCTTGAAGGGTAAGAGCTGTTTTGGCAGCACAAGGGGGACCTACACAATATTAGGCTGGTGGTTTTAATGTTATGGCTAATTACTGTGTGTAATGGAAAGCAAAATGGGTTATTCAAACACTACCCAGTTTCCCCATGTTGCTACCTTCATGTTTGAACAATTATTAGGTTTTTGTTTTGGATTTGCACCAAAAGATTTCCCCCCAAATACAGGATTGAGTCTCCTGTTTTAATATGGGACTGTATTATTTGTGAGAGATCTATTGTTGTATCATCATGCTCATCAGCTCAGGCCTTTGGAGAACATTTAATATACTTGATATTCTGTACTAAAGTTTATTTATTCATTCATTCACATTTTATCAGATGTTAGAAAGGGAAGGAAAGGAAAATGAAGCACTGAACAGGATGATGGCCATTGAGCAGAAAACCAACCTCCTTAATCTCTTTCAAGATAGGAATCGTCCAACCCTACATAAATGGCCACAGGTATCATTCAAGGGTTTATAAAAATTAAGCATTATGGCTACAGAAATGTCACTTTTCATTAGGAACTGCGAATTTGTTTTGAAAAGATTTTTCATTCCCCCTTCCCCTTTTTTTTTAAATTATAGGACACAGATGTTCTGTACATTGTTTCCTTGTTTTTTGTGGACGAATGGAAGAAATTTATCAGGTGACACTTTAATATATTGTTGAAAATAAGTGTTTTGTAAATTATGAATTTGAAGAAAATTCTGTTCAAATGTGAAATTCTTACTAATTCTGTGTCATTTCAATTCTTTTAATTCTAGGAAACCTACAAAGAGTAGCCCTGTCTCTAGCATTGGTAACAATGTCCTGCTCTGTCCGCATGGAGGCTTCATGTTCACATACGAATCTATGGTCAAAGGTGATGCTCAGCAGTAAGTGCAGCTGTTCTTTTGATCTATGCCTTTTTTAAATGTACCGCAATAATATGCCATAATCATATTTTCCCTTTATGTGTAGGTCAAATTCAGTGTTTTAAATATTCTGAATGTTGGTGGTTTCTGTCAGTGATTACCCAGATCACTGGAATATTATGCAGGTGATAGACACACCTGAATTTACTAAAGCAATTCAAGCACCTTTCTCTAGGAATGACCACCTGAAACCTTACTATAAAACTTAAAATGAGAAACTGAAGGTCATTACATAAGACTCATTATTATGTATATTATTTTACTTATAATGTTGTCTTCTCCTGTATATATTAATACCCTTTGTGAACAAGTGGTAAGTAATTCATTTTCAAGAAAATAAGATCATAACCAGGAAGAGGACGGAAATATAATTGAAAATTGTTTAAGTAAAGGTAATTGCCCGACAAGCATTGCACATTTTTAAACACTTAGCTGCGGAAGCAAAGAACCACCTGATGCACCAGAGGAGTGTGTTTAAAAACATAAAATTCATGGCTTGGAGTGTGTTAGCCTGCTGATTCCACTGTTACTAGACATTTGGCTTACAGATTTGTACATTATATTTATACATTTATAAACCGAAAACACCTTGTTAGAACTGAATTCCACCTACCATGAACAGGGTACCCACGGGGTCTTAAGTTTTTAGAAAGCATTGAATTTAATATTCTGAAAGTAAGGCCATAAAAGTATTGAATTTCATTTACGAGGGTCTTAGTTTTATTCTTCTATTTTTTGTAGGATTATTTAAATACCGTAATGTTGTAAATGGCTGTCAGATGCACAACAGGTATTACATGTAAAAAGCCATCTACTTAAGTCGTGTGTCACTTGTCTCTACCCGATCTGTATGGCCTACTCAATCCATTCCTTCTGGCTCCAGTTCATCTAGTGTACATGTACGCATGTGTATGTCACTGCCCAATTTATGGAAGTCCCCAATATATGACAATGCATGCGGTTGAGTGCATCTACACTAAACGTATAGTAGTAGTAGTAGTAGTAGTAATTAAAATAATAATTATCATGATGACTATTCGATCGTCAGTATGATTACCATATCTAACATTAATTTAATACGATTTTACACTTTATTGTTCCCTAGAGGGGAAAATTTGGGTGTAACAACAAACGTATAACCAACACACATTAACAACTAAAGAATAATTCATATTCATAACATAATATCAGATAATAAGCCTAATATCTGAGTAAAAGTAGATATTGGCATCTATTTACAGTATGAAAAAAAGGGTGCAGATGTGTGGAGCAGGTGGGTCATTTAGCCCTCTGGAGTTGGCAGTCCCGCTCACAGGACCAAACAGAGATCTCACCAAGCCATTTAACAAACTCCTTATGTTTTTGTCATAGTTATTTATTTATTTATTTATTTATTTAAAAACACACCCCCAGAAACCTTAAAAGGTCTACTTTTCAAATATATATAGGAAGAAACTAAATATAGTTTTAGAACTTCGTAAGGAAAATAAAAAGTATAAGCGTGACTGACTTGAGTTTGAGAGTCTCAAAGCAGTGCTGATTGCCCACCCATTTTCAAATAACTAATTTTCCTATGAATAGAATACGATAAACCCGCAATTGTTAGTGGGTCAAAATTTGTGATGTGAGAGATTTTTCACTGAGGAAATGTGGTAAAAATACATTGCTTCAATTCATAGATACTGGTTATCTGAATTCGCAGTTGTAATTGACAAATGTCACTGTTTTATAATTTTGATCACTACTGTAAAAACTTGTCTTTATAAATACAACCCCAAATCAGAAAAAGTTGGGACGGTATGTTAAATTAAAATCAAACTGAAAACAGTACTTTGTTAAATTATCTTTGACCTGTATTACATTGAAAATATTACAACAGCACATTATTCCAATTTTGGTTCTTGCAACACATTTCAAAAAAAGTTGGAACAGTAAAGCATTTACCACTTTGTAATGTTGCCATTCCTTTTCACAACACTTAAAAGATGTTTAGGGACTGAAGACACCAAGTGATGAAATGTTTCAGGTGTAATTTTGTCCCATTCTTCCTTCAAACAAGTCTTAAGGTGGGCAACAGTATGGGGTCTTCGTTGTCGCCACACATTCTCTGTTGGAGACAGGTCGGGACTGCAGGCAGGCCAGTCAAGTACCCATACCCTCTTCCTCCGCAGCCAGGACTTTGTAACGTGTGCAGAATGTGGTTTTGCATTGTCTTGTTGAAATATGCATGGGCGTCCCTGGAAAAGATGTCTTCTTGAAGGCAGCATATTGTGCTCCAAAATCTCTATGTACTCTTCAGCATTAATGGTGCCATCACAGAAGTACAAGTTACCTTTGCCAAGGGTTTTTGGACTGGATGATCATTTTCTTCTTTGGTCTGGAGCATCCGGCGTCCATTTCTCCCAAAAAATACCTGAAATACTGATTCATCTGACCACAGTACACGTTTCCACTGTGTGATGGTCCATCCTAGATGCCCCAAGCCCAGAGAAGTCGACTGCACTTCTGAACACTTAACATAGGGCTTCCTTTTCGCACAGTACAGTTTTAACTGGCATTTGTTTATGTAACAATGTATTGTGGTACTTGACAAAGGTTTGCCAAAGTAGTCATGAGCCCATGTGGTCATATCGCTTATAGATGAATGACGATTCTTGATGCAGTGCCGCCTGAGGGATTGGAGATCACGGTTGTTCAGCTTAGGCTTGCGCACTGAAATTCCTCCAGATTCCTTGAATCTTTTAAGTATGTGATGCACTGTTGAAGCTGAAATATCCAAATCTCTTCCTATCTTTCTTTGAGGAACATTGTTTTTAAACATTTCAATAATTTTCTTACGTACTTGTTGGCAAACTGGCAATCCTCGGCCCATCTTTGCTTCTAAAGGACTAGACCTTTCTTGGATGCTGCTTTTGTACCAAATCATAATTACAATCACCTGTTGACATCACCGGTTTCATATCACATCATTATTTAACCAATTTACCTCATTACTAGCCCTAAATTGCTCCTGTCCCAACCTTTTTTGGAATGTGTTGCAGGTCTGAATGACAGGAAAGGATGTATATTTACAAATGAAATGAAGTTAACCAGACAAAACATGAAATATTTTGTGTTCATATTGTCTGCAATGAAATACAAGTCAAAGTAAATTTAGGAAACACTACTTTCTTTTTTTATTTGCGTTTTCTATACCGTCCCAACTTTTTCTGATTTGGGGTTGTACATTCAAATTGCTGGTAACTAGGTTGTTCTTTCAGCATTATTTGAGACTTTTTCCAAGTATAAGACTACAAAGCAATTGTTTTGTTTAATTACCTCACTCCTATCGCATATAATGGAGAGAAACAAGGTCTGATGCTGGACTGTAAGGTACACACATGATGACTACTTACAGAGAACAGGGAAACATGCAAGTAACTAGCACAGATCAACATAAACCAAAGTATCTACAACACCAAATACAAATAGGGCTATGTACATGGCTCGTGAGCATGTTGGGCATGCTAATAGGCTTCGCTATACGGAGCCATCTCACCAGCGCTACTCTATTATTATGCACACAAAAACCTTGGAAATGCAAAGCATGTGATGTGTACCTTTGTCTTCAACCATGCAGGAACTATTTATTGTTCTAATGTTTGTTTATTGTTTTGTATTATCCCGGTAGTATAATGTGATTGCACTTTTCAATTCATCAATATTTAATCTGTTCATGTTATAAACTGTAAAAAGGCTATTATTGTCTCTTCTTAATATTCACACTGATTCTCCAAAGTTTTGGGTGTGGGGGGCAGTGACAATGACATTCCAGATTGATGGACCATTTACAGTATGTAAGCTATTAAAAGTGTAATGACACCCGTCTCATCAATAGGCATTCTGTAGTCCACTGTCAAAAAAAAATAGTATCACTTCAAAGTTCTAACGGTTTAGTAATCAAACCACATGAAATTTCTGAACGTCTCATTCACCTATGTGTAGCCAACCACTGTGTCTATAAGCTTCGAAGCCCAAAGTCTTAGCTAGAAATGTTTGTAAATAGTTTTTTTTTTGTTTTTGTTTTTTGTTTTTTTTTTTGCAATTTCTCAGCACCTTTTGAAAAGTGTATGTTCAAAATTGCTTTTAGCAACAACAAAAAAATAGAATAATCACATTCTAAATGGTCTCAGATTATTGGTGCTGAATAAAACCATATGTAGCACTTTGGGGTGATTTTTTATTTTTTTTGATAGGTGAAATATTTTAAAATGTCAAGGCATGTTAGACTATCTCAAAAGTGGCCTCAGACTCCAGAGAGTTAATGTACCCCAAGGAATTAAAGGTCCAAAAAATACAATACAGTAAGTGCATAGATCCCCTATACCTGATGGCACCACAAAAGTGTTCTCGCATGACATAAAACCCCCCACTTTCCAAATCGGGCAGCTATCACAAACACTATTCCCTGCATTGTTAGGTACCAGCTGTTAATTATTCAGTGTTTGCATGCTTCAACTCTGAGCACGGTTCAAATCTGCACTTGCCAAATTAGGAAATTATCCTGAAGGAATGGATCAGGTAGGCTGTACAAATCCGGTAGCAACAGCTCTCTGTCTGAATTCAGGGGCTGCATAGTTCAAAGGCTGTGGTCTACGATAGTTTAGCCTTTGTAGGCTGTGTTCTTTGAAAGTCGAGCAGAAAGTGTTGTCAAATGGGACGGTCTGGCCTACAGATAATTTCCTGTTTGCATCACCAGCTGTTCCCATACTTATCCTTGAATCGCTAAGCGCCGCTCCTGTGACCTAGCTGGGTCACACTCGCTTTACCTCTGTGCAGTTAATTTTGGGATATTTTGGGTTGTGAAGGATGCTTTAGGCGCATTCTTTGTGGAGTGGAAAAAGGACATAGTTCTTAACTGTATTTGAAGGAGCCTTTCAAATGGGACAGCCTTATCATGCCTCTGACACATTCGGTCTACT